AAGCACTGGACAGTTGCACAGTGGTCCAAAGTCCTCTTTTCAGACGAAAGCAAGTTTTGTATTTCATTTGGAAGTCAAGGCGCCAGAGTCTGGAGAAAGGCTGGAGAGGAGCAAAATCCAAGTTGCTTGAAATCCAGTGTGAAGTTCCCACAGTCAGCGATGGTTTGGGGAGCCATGTCAGCTGCTGGTGTTGGTCCACTGTGTTTCATCAAGCCCAGAGTAAATGCAGCTGTGTACCAAGAGATTTTAGAGCACTACATGCTTCCGTCTGCTGAAAAGCTCTATGGAGATGAGGAATTCATTTTCCAGCATGATCTGGCACCTGCCCACAGTGCCAAAACCACCAGTAACTGGTGTACTGACTATGGCATTACTGTCCTCGATTGGCCTGCAAATTCCCCTGACCTGAACCCCATAGAGAATATGTGGGGTATTGTGAAGAAGAAGCTGAAAGACACCAGACCCAACAATGCTAATGAGCTAAAGGCCGCTATTGAAGCATCCTGGGCATCCATAACACCTCAGCAATGCCACAGGCTGATTGCCTCCATGCCACGCCGCATTGATGCAGTAATCCGTGCATTAATGGACATTTTCAAATGTTTGATTGTGTTTTGCTGTTATAAATCTTTTTTTTTTACTTGGTCTGAGGAGCTATTCTAATTTTTTGAGATAGGATTTTTGAGTTTTCTTAAGCTGTATGCCATAATCAGCAATATTAAAATAATAAAAGGCTTGCAATATTTCAGTTGATTTGTAATGAATCCAGAATGTATGACATTTTTGTTTTTTTAATTGCATTACAGAAAATAAAGAACTTTATCACAATATTCTAATTTTCTGAGACAGTCCTGTAGAACGTTGGGTGAAGTCAATGAACAGATATCACACTGTCAATACACATTTCCAAGATCCAAAGACAGTTATCAAAACAGTACAATGGAAATAGAACATTCACTATCAACATGTTCATACATTTTTTTTTCATCGGTAAAAAGAAAATAAATATTGGTTTGTACAAGTGATTTTATGAGTAGGGCTATGCACAATGCAAAAGTGTCTCAAAGAATAAGACATCAATCAAATGAATACAATAACTTTATTCCCAATGAAAATGTTCCCTTGGTAATGATATGATAGAAAATGAACGAGACGTGCATTTTGTCAGTCAGTTATATCTATTTCCACAATATTTTTTTATTTCCTTTTCACAAAAATAGACGTCTATGGTAAAGTAATAATTTTTTTAGGCCCAAATGTAATTATTCAGGCCTTAACTACATGAGGAATCGGATGAACAATCATGACGGTGAGTTGTTGTTCGCAGCACATCGTAAAGTGCAAAAATGGAAACAAAGGTATCTGTTAACAAATGGGCTTTTTCCTCCTTTTTTTACGTGCGTTCTCCACAGAGTTGATACTTTTCACAAATTGCCCAGGTGCATCAGATAACCATTATCCTGCCTGGCTCCTGTTGATAGGGTTGTCTAAATGGGTTGCCTCTCAATGAGGTTTTGGCCCTGGTTTGGGATCCAAGTTTGGGAAGCTGCCAATAGAGATCCTAAAAAGAGAAATTCAGAAGATGTGAATTATTTAGATTTCCACTGTTTATCGCAGTGTGTTGTTCGTTTTATTTGGTTTCAGTTACTGATTCAAACATTTGAGTGGAAGCTGTGGGACTTATGCAGGATGTCTGGGTTCATCTCAAGAATTAAAATGTTAAATTAATTGTTGTTTTCTGAGCTCACTTTCGTTGTGTGGCCTAATTCTGCTGTCACAGATCCCTCCAAAGCTTTGGTTGAAGTTGTTTTTGTATGTACAATACACACTGATGATGAGGGAACTAACCCAGATGCATGCAAAACAATCTAATCTACCTCAATCATATTCATGTGGTGGCCTCACAGATATTTATGTTTTATTGCAACAGATTACACCATATGGCCCCTGTCAAACCTCAATGCACTGTGCAGCTTCTGACACAGATATTCCCATTCATCTGTCTGCGTCTCACAGAACAAGAGGGTCTCTGTTGTATTGCAAAAACCTTCATTTGGAAAGTGCTTTCGCAACTTTTCAGACCCTAACAGTTAATAGGTCCACTGGGGGTTACTTTTTTTGAAGATTCCTGTCTGTATCAAGCATTATAAGATGTATATTTTACATACATTTATTGCTCTTTTGCAACGCATACAGACAGAACAAATAAATAAAAAATACATTCCTGTTCAGCTGTACTACCAACCAGATGATTTCCAATGCATATTCTTTAAAATGGTTGCAAGACACATATCTAACTCTACGGTGGTAGTGGTCATCAGGCGCAAGGTCAGCAGTTTAGCAATCCTGGAAATCTTTTTTTAGAGCATGTACTAAAGCAGCCCTTCTTTTTCATGCATTTGTATGCTTTGCTTTTGTTGTGATTGCTGACACCCGACACGGCACATAATTGCTCACAGTTGTCGTTAAGTAATTGAGAACAGCTGTTACAGTCATTATGATTAATACATAGAGAATAACTTTTACAAATGTGTCAAGACGGCGAATGTTTAAATCCATGCATTTCATGCATAGATGAAGGTCATTCTCAGAGGCCTGCAAAGCCCCGCAGTGGAGCCGGAGAGTCGAGTGTTTTTTCGTTTAAACTGTCCCTTCAGACCTCAACACAATTCCTCCCGCGAGCTGGTAACCTTGCTAACCCTGCAGCCTGTGAATAAGTGAAACTATCCACACAACTCAGCACCTCCCTGCAGATATTTGTTTCATACCAAGGTTTTCTTTATACACAAATTGTTCTTGAACAATGTTGCACCGTATACAATATATCCACAACACTGTGAACTCCAGACCTTGCACATAACAATACCTTCCAGCCTCAGGAATACATTTTCTCCAACGGTGCCCACAATATTTCACAGATTTATTTCTACTGCTTTATAATAAACGGCATGGTACACTGGACAAATACACAACTGGACAGTCAAAACACTTCTCTTTATAGCTGCCACCTTACTGAATGCAACACTGCTCAAATGCACATAGCTAATGGTTACTAAATGTTGTATGAGTGATATGTATAGGCAGCCGTCCACTTCACATACACCGCTGTCTCTGTCTATGTGAGGTCCTGTTGTCCTTGAAAGTTTTCAGCATGTTTCTGACAAATCCCTGCACATGTTGTGTCCTTAGTGACTCCATTTTTTCTTCCCGCAGTCATTTGCCAATTTTACAGCTGCGTGATTGTCTGTTGTATCCGTTTTATATTTGTTAGCCTTATGTTTATAGTCATTTGTCCGTGAGGCAGCCTTTAGGTGATAGCCAAGGCTGAAAATGCTGCTGCTCCTACTTCATGCCGCTCCGCAGCACCTGATTGGCTGCGATAAGCATGACGCTGATGATGAAAGCAATAGCAAAGGCGCAAATCAAGCTCTTGCGAACACAAGTTTGCTTGACGGTCGGGCTGGAACCTGGGAACCAAAACAGAGGTGGGAGGGAAAGAAGAAAAAAAATTACCTGAAGGTCTATTGAATCAGGTGTAATTTAATGCTTGAAAGATGTCTCGATAGAAATTTCAGAATGAAATGAGCGCATCACAAAGCCTTTGAATTAGATGAACACAATTAAAAGGGATGAACACCCAGAGAAAATACGTTTTCACACCTGTACGGTGTGTAACAGCATCTAGATTGAAATGCTGATTGCCGGTTTGGAACAACAAACAAATGGATTGGCACCTGACTGGCATATTAAAGGATGCTCGAAACACCAGCGCTCAGAGAAAAGGTGTTGTATACTGGCAGAATCGTATGAAGTAAGAGCGAACGCAGCTATTGGGTTTTTAATCTTGTATTTTTATTCAAATAGAAGATTGTTCAAGCTTCTTAAATCTGATCTAGCTTTTTATTTATCTTTATTTTCTTCAGCCATCAGGATATTTTGCATTTCTGACAGTGACTTTTAAATGAAAGGTTCTCTGTGCAGTCTGTGTACGCTCATGGAGCTTCAGCACTGGTGAAGTTTATTTTTAAAAGTCTCCCTTCTGCAGACATTTGTAAATTTGCAAAACAACGGACAGAATATGCATATTAACTTTTGTATGATTCCATGGTATAGGAACAGGAAACAAGCAAAATGTCCATCTACAGTAGGAGACTGTAGATGGACAGTTTTATTATAGTTTACAATACTAACATACATAACTTAAAAAACTTGACAAACCACAACGCCCTCAGTTGGGACCTTTTGTTAAGAAATATCATTCACATAAACAGCAGAGGTTTTACGTTCTTCCTTACTGTCTATATCCACCTGGCACTCCCCGGGGTTCTCTATGTGGTTCTCCTCAGTCATGATGATATTCTCGATGTCTTTCATAGAAAGGTGATCGCAGAAGGTGTCGTAGAGGAGCCTCTTCAGCTCCTCCACCGTTAACTTCTGCATGTCACACTGGAGAAAGACACACATAACTATACGTTAACTTAGACATAGACGGGTGGACACAATACCGCACACATGCACAAACACTTACAGACAATATGTAGGCAAAAACTAATGTAGGAAAGGAATAGAACACAAGCAGCAAAAAACAGTGTATGGAAAAGCTCACTTAATTGTGATTCAAATATGGATTTATCAATTACAAAAAAAAATATATCCCTAACATGTACTGTAGAAGTGTGACACTTTTGTCTAAGTTGCCATCCAATCAAAATTACAAGCTGAATTGAATTTCCTATTCAAATAACATAATTTGCTTCAAAGTATTAATTGTGGGGAAGGTAATTCACTTCAGAAACACTTTTTGTTATATTCCATGGAATGCTCTTAACATCCCGATAGCAATGAATAAATTAAATGCTTTGACAATAAATACATAAAAAATGTCATCTGTGGAAGCCGTGGCGCGGTAAAAAGCACGACCAATTATTTTAAAATAACTGGATGGCCTACCTGCCTGTCAGCCTTCCATCTTATGCACAAACTTATCTCGTGCCCTCATTGGTCATGTGCACGTTCGTGTGTGTTGGAGGAGGGGCTCTGTAAGAAAGTCTGAAGGAAGGGGCAGATTTTTCTTCGGCTGCGTAGATTCAAATTCTAGTGCACTCAAGCTGGTTTCTCCATTCTTACCTACCCTACCTTTAAGTACCTGAGTTTAACATTATTCAATTAAAGTAGCTCAAAGCTCATGTTCTGAGTAAAGGAACTCAGTCCACCACTGGCATTATTGAAAATGTGTTCAATAACAAAATGAAAAATGCCAATCCAGTATCTGTGCAAGTTTGGAAAACTCATCAATGTTTCTGATTTCATGCAAAGCTTGGCAAGCGCTCACCAGTGTGCAGCACATGCTTGATATAACTTCACACTGATTTATATTGTTATCTTTGCAGCCTTAGCAATAGTTCCCTCTGGTATCTTGACATTATCTGCAGGTGTCTTTGGTTATGATTCATTTTTTATAAACTGACTGAACCGAATATTCCCACAAATCATCTATTTCACACTTGAATTTGGAGCCTCACTTTTGACTGCAACTCTGGTTTTTATCACGTACCTACAGCAAAGGCAGCTTAGATGAGCATCATCCCATTAAATCCATCCCACTGTCAAAGTGAGCAGTTGATTATCTAATGAAGCGTGTGTAAATAATTGAATATCAATTTTAAATCAAATTGACTTTAATGGCCTTAGTCTTAAGACTGTCGCCACACACAATGAGGCAAAGATATTAACACAAAGTCTGGATTCTTAAGGGAATCTCTCCCAGATTAAAATCTTCCCATTAATAACAACCCAGTGGACGTGGCAATTAAAAACTGGTTTGGCTTTTAAAGTGGCACACTAAAGGATTCTGCGCTCAGAGGTTTGCTGGGGCCGCTACTCTGCTGTCTATCTTCTTAAGAAGCACAACATGAGTGACTGAATAATGATCACCTTCCAAAATACAGAATCAAAATCAGTGCCGTGGAACTTATCTGGCAACCTAGCTGCCGTCAGCTTTGGGCCCAGAAGAGTGACAAACTCCTCAAAGTCCACCTGGCCATCGCCTGTGAAAATAACAAAAAACAATTGGTGTTTATTGCTGCTGGTTTGACTGCCTTCTACAGACCACATCTGTCTGCTGAAAGAGCAACCCAATCTCATGGCATTTCGTGTTCACCAACACGATTTTTAATCGATTGATTCGTGTTCACCAACACAATTTTCCCCTTTTTTTCGTGTTGCACAGCACGATTTTAAAAGCAATGTATTTCTATTGGTAGTCTCACGGCATTACGTGTTATAGGAAGCTGTGTGGTTCATAAAAACATGTTCTTACTCAATATCAAGCCACGATTATTGCTTTTATTTAAAATCGTATCATTTCGGACTTTTTTTGCCGTCTGTGAGGAAAATAAATTGGCCTGAGAGCCTCAGGATACTGAAATCTGTATTTTTTAAATCTTTTTTTCCTTCTAATTTGTTATTCTTTTCAAAATAACACACTGTTATTACTTTTATTGGTTTATTTCCATAATCTCAGGCTTTTTTGGCGTCCGTCAGGGTCAGGAACTGAATTTCAAAATAAAAATAACCGGAAACAGATGTAGGCCTTTAGGAGTTTAGGATGGCCAAAGACACTACACTACCCATAATTCCCAGCTATCGTTTGGGACTACAGTCCCCGTGATTAATGTTCAAGCTCTGGGATTGGAAGTTGGAGTGGCAGTGCACCAAGGTTACGCTGAACGTCAAACAGCT